TAGGTTTCACCCTTCACATCTCTGGTTCTCCCTAGATCGCTCAACTCCCTCTGGAACTCGAATCCGAAGTGATGGAGAATGGGGAGAACTTCTCAGTTGGGGAGCGGCAGCTCTTGTGCATAGCAAGGGCCTTGCTCCGCCACTGCAAGGTGAGGTGTGGAGGGCTACAGGGAGGGGGAAGGGGAGCAGCAGAGAAGGGGATGCTGAAGGGTGGCCTCCCCTGAGGCCAGCACTGTGGTCCCAGGGCGCTCCTGGTTCTTGAGTCCAGAGGTGCACTCTCAAGAGTGTGACCAGAAATGTTTCCTCCTTGACACGGTTCGGGTTTGGGGGTTTGATTTGGCTTAGTTTTGAACTTTCCTGCCCTCCAGTACACAAGGGTGCCTTTTGTTTCTGCCTGTGAGGAGTTGGTCTGACGAACCATAGACAGAGCAAAGATTAGTACTGCAAGATTAGTACTTACAGGCTATCAAATCCAACCCCCTGCTTTTATAGACAGGAAAAGGGAGGTCCAAAAAATCTGTGGACGTGTTTACTGTCACAGAGCAGGTAGAGGCAAGGACTTCAGTAGAGCAGTATTACGTGCTTTTCCTGTTTGCAAAATGAAGGCAAGAGCGTAGGTTTGAAATTCTATCACATCTAAGGAAAAGGGTATTTTACGTGCGTGTCTACTTAGAAAAACCACACAGTCCCGCACCGCATAGAGACCTTTCCGTCCTTGAAGGCTGCACATGTGATGGCGGAGCAGACTGTCCGTGGGGCCGGGAGTGGTGGGCGGTTCCATCTTGGTCTGTGTGAGTGCACGTTGGTGTCTGCAGGACAAAGTCGCCCAACGGTGCATTTCTTAGAATGGGTCCTTCTCGTTAAGCAATACTTGGCTGTCTATGGCATAAAATGTAAATAACGAGCTACATTTTGGTAAAGCCTAGATTAACTAGAACACTGAAAAGATTATTGATCGGGTCCCTCTTTCTTCTCTCCTTGTTGTCAGATTCTGATTTTAGATGAAGCCACGGCTGCCATGGACACAGAGACAGACCTGCTGATCCAGGAGACCATCCGAGAGGCGTTCGCAGACTGCACCATGCTCACGATTGCCCACCGCCTGCACACGGTGCTAGGCTCTGACCGTATCATGGTGCTGGCCCAAGGACAGGTGCTGAGTCCTCAGGGACCTTGGCTTGGCTTGTGGCCTTGTGTGGGAGGAAATAGGTCCTTGGCAGTGATGGGCTGATTGCCATCTTCCACGTAGTTCTGGGGGCATGCAGATAAGGAGCCGTCAGGGCTGTTCTGGCTGCTGTTGGGAGAGACCCAGCTGTCCGGGTCAACACTGAGTCAGCACACTCAATTACATTCCAGTTTGCTGTAGTATTTGTTCTTCGGTTGCTTGTAAGCAGTGGCACTGTGGCTTAGGTCAAAGAACATGTGTACTTAGTGAATCATTCACATACACGGGATCGCCCCGGGCATCCGAGACCAGCCACCCCTGTCTTGCAGTGATGTTATCCTGTTCTTATCTTGTTGTCCCAAGGTCTGCCCCAAGCCTAGCCTTCTTCATGTCCCACTGTTTCCCATTAGCCGGAGACAATCTCGTATCCTCTGAGCTTTTCACCTGTCTTTACTCACAGTTCCATCCACCTAAAATGTCCTTCTCCCCTTTTCTCTTCCCTCATCTCCCTGCTTACAATCCGCCTTTTCCTGAAGAAAGATACAGCTCAGATGTCACGGTTTCTGTGACACTCCGACAGCCTCAGCTGTCTTAAACTGTGTCTGAATCTCTTCTGTAGCTCTCTCCTGCCTGCCGTCACAGTAACCGTGTGCTGCCCTGTGTCCCTCAGGGCTCCCCGTGAGCCTCAGAAGGCTCATTCACCTTTAGGTCCTCGGCAGTGCTGTGGTTCTTTGCAGAAGTAGCTACTATGTAAATTTATGTTGGACAGATACCTCGTTGTGTCCCTGGGATGAACGTAAATGAATGATTTGGTGGAAATCACAAGCCACTTATAGTGGATAGCTTGTCTTCTATTTTCACAGTAACTACTTAAGAAAAAATGTTCTTAGGTTTTTGCTGTAGGGGACATGCACTAGCCAGAGAGAGACAGTGACAGGGAAAGTAAGAAATCTCCCCGGGAGCGGAGGTGGCCACGCTGCAGTCCCTTCTCCTCCAGTCTTCTCTCAGGATTTTGGGCGCACACACACATATGTGTCCGGCATGATTTTTCAAGCCCTGGGTCCAGAATAACTTTCCGGATAGGTGGGGGCCTCGCGCCTTAACCGCCACGTCCCTGCTGCCCTTGTAGCAGAAGTGCATTCCCGTCAGGCGCTGTAATCAGTGCTTTGTCCTCAACATCCAGTCAGTCATCACAGAAACCAAGGTGACAGATGTTAACTTGACATTGCAGGTGAGGAGACTAAGGCTCGGGGAACCTGGCCTGTCTCGGGACCCCAGGGAATGGAAGACGCGACCGAAGTCAGACCAGTGACTCCAAAGCGAGAGATCTTCACCACCACACCGCACTGTCTCTGTCTGAGGAGAGAGATCGAGAAACCTTTAAATAGGGCAGGTTCCGCCCAGGCTTCGATGCTAGGCTGAGATATAAGGGATAATGATAGTTTTTCTTCTCTTGAAATCATTTTAACAGGTTTTGTTTGTTTGTTTTACGGTTTTCCTTGTTTTGTCCTAAATGTTTAGAGATCCTATTATACGTGAGATGCAGGGAGGTCTGGGACTCAGCCTGTGGGAGTCCAGTGACTTAACTGCCACACCACCTGCTGGCCCGAGGGACAGTCTCTCATTCATTCATTTATACTTTGTTTTAATTTTGACCAGAGAGAGAGAGACAGAGTGAGGGAGAGACAGAAGTGAGAAAAGAAGCTGCCAGGTCCAGGACTCGAACCAAGGTTGTCCATGTGGGAGCCCAGCACCCTTAACCACCACACCACCTGCTGGCCCCGACATTTTCACTTAAACACACAAATCCAAACCACTTCATTTCTCTGGGTGGCTCAAAGTTGTTTTATTTTTATTTATTTATCTACTTACTTATTTTTAAGAATTCTTTTATTAACTTTATTTAATTTGACCAGAGAGAGAGAGAGAAAGCAAGCTGCCTAGTCCAGGACCCAAGCCATGGTTAGCCATGTGGGAGTCCAGCATCCCCAACCACCACGCCACCTGCTGGCCCCACAAAGTTGGTGATTGGCTCTTTATAAGGAGTTTATCCTTTCCTTTGCTTAATTTTTTTCTCAATAATCAAAATGTCCTTGTAACTCTAAGAAAACCTTAAAAAAAAAAAAAAAAAAGGGCACCATAAGAACATAAAGCCAAAGACAAGTTCACAAGTTGCTTGCCCTCCCCCCGACAGTTTTTCTCGGGCATCTTTACTCACAGGCTGCCACAGGTGGGGTGCCCCCTGTGTACACGGGTGCGCCAGAACAGGAGAGGCTCAGACTAGGGCTTGTCTTCCTGTGTGCGGGAGGGTGGGGGCTGTTTCCCTGCAGCTCCGGGACGGCTCCATGTCACTCCCAGCCCGTGCTTCCCCTTGCCCTCCTGGCGCTGCTCTAGCACCCAGCACTGTGGCCGCAGCCTCGCCCAAAGATGGATACCCTTTCCTAAGCACCAGGAGACTTGTCCTCACACCTCCTTGGCCAACGCTGTGCCTCATGCCTTTGCCCTGTGGCTACGGCAGCCGGCAAGGCAAAGGGAGTGTGAGCTCGCAGCCCGTCCAGGGAGGCAGGGCCTGCCAGCATGTTGTTCCATCTTCCGCTGCAGTGTGATCTCCAGCGGCTGCGTGGACGCTCGTCACGGGGAGGGACAGCTGACTGGGTGGTCCCTTCCTCTTCTCCCCTGCCGACCAGGCCTCCAGAGCTCCTCCTCCTCCACCTGCAGGGGTGGATGTGTCTGGTGTGCCCCTGACCGGCGCTGCAGCTGCTCCCCCTGCAGTTTATAGATTTATGGACCCTCGTAGACAGGTTACTTCCAAGGCTGAAGGAGTGGAACTTATGTGGAGGAGATCTGAAGGTCTTTCTCCCTGACCTGTCCCTTCCACCCTGGTTAGTAAAGTAACGTGGCTGGCAGGGCCAGTCGCGTCGTCCCAATTCTGTTCTTGGAGCTTTGGGGTTTACTCCGCTCCCGAGCAGTAAGCCTGAGACGCCGAGCGTCCCGGGCCCACATCCTGACACTGTCTCTCTCCTGCAGGTGGTGGAGTTTGACACCCCATCGGTCCTCCTGTCCAATGACAGCTCCCGGTTCTATGCCATGTTTGCTGCTGCGGAGAACAAGGTTGCTGTCAAGGGCTGACCCCTGCCTGCTGGCGGAGTCTTTCTTCTGGAGCATTGCCATTCCCTGCCTGGGGCGGGCCCCTCGTCTGTCCTGCCGGAACCTCGCCTCTCCCGGTTTTATCTCCGCACAGCAGTTCAGGATTGGCTTGTGTGTTTCACTTTTAGGGAGAAGCCTATTTTGATTATTGTATTTATTCCATATTCATGTAAACAAAATCTAGTTTTTGTTCTTAATTGCACTCTAAAAGGTTCAGGGAGCCGTTATTATAAATGTATCAGAGGCCTATAATGAAGCTTTATACGTGTAGCTATATCTATATACTCCTGTACATAGCCTATATTTACAGTGGAAATGTAAGCCGTTTATTTTATATTAAAACGAGCACTGTGCTAATAGCAGTGCACACCCCTTTCTATCGTTTTGTACCGTGTGCTGTCCTCGAGGTCTGGCTTCGCTGTGAGGGTGTGGACGGGCACCACTCACTCCCCAGCTGGCCAGTCCTCGGTGCCGGGTGTCCTGGGTGTCCAGAGCAGGACGTGGCACAGCGGGCCCTCCGGCGGCCCCTCTGCTGCCCCCACAGCGCTCCCGGGGTGGCCGGGGGGCAGCAGAGCGCCGTGAACTCTCAGGGCTCCCGCTTTCTGTCCTGTTGTCACTTACTGTTGCCGTCAGGGGAGCGCCCGTGGGCCGAGCCTCAGCCCTTCCACTCCGTCCAGCAGGGATGAGCCAGGCGTTCCTCCGAGACGGGGAAGGGGGTGCGCGCCTGCCCTCCTCCCTTTGCTGTTCCTGAACAGGAATCAGTCCCTCCACCGGGCCCCACTGCCTCAGGTTCCTCCCGCTGGTCCCCGCACAGCGCGCTCGGGCTCCCAGGCCTGTCGGTCCGAGACTGGAGCCCACTGCTGCTGCTTCCGGGGGTACTTTTTCATTTGCCTGTCCCCACGCCTCCACAGTCCGTGACAGGGTTCAGGGTGTCGTGAGTCTGTTCTCCTCACCGCAGTTGTCACACAGTCTCTTTCTCTCCAAAGTCTGCGACTTCAAGCAGCTCTTGCTAATCAGTGTCTCACACTGGCGTAGAAGTTTTTTGTACTGTAAAGAGACCTACCTCAGGTTGCTGATGGCCGTGTGGTTCGGTGTGTTCCCGCAAACCCGCTTCGTGCTGTGGGGCCAGTAGCTCAGGTGGGCGTGGTCGCTGCTGTCATCAGTGGAATGGTCAGCGTTGCATGTCGTGACCAACTAGACATTCTGTCGCCTTAGCATGTTTGCAGAACACCTTGTGGAAGCAAAAATCTGAAAAAGTGAATAAAATTATTTTGGATTTTGTAAAACTCGTGGCGTTTAAAATAGTTCCTCTGGGGGAAATGTCCTTGAGTGACTCTGGGGCACTGGGGCCCTGGCTCTCAATGTCCAGCGATGGCATGACGCCTGGGAAGGGGCAGCAGTGGAGCTGGTTCGGTGCCGGGGACAGGGCCCCAGGTGTCAGGAATCACATCTAGTGAGCTGTGCGTCCTGCAGCCTGCGTGCCAGGGCACGGTCTCTAAGTGAAGCACTTGCCCTGACAACAGGAGGGGGGTGGGAGGGCAGTTGGTGGCCCTGTTGTGGGTGGTCACGGTGAAGTAGAGGGGACTTCAGAATTGCAAAAGTTTTGAAGTCCATGCATAGTTTTTTCATAATATACATTTTCCATGAATTTTTGAAGACCCCTTCTAAGTTTTATTTATCAGATTTGTTATAGAATGTGCACGCCTACCAGAGAGAGACGGAGAGATAAAGTGAGAAGGCACCTCCCGGGGGGGACAGCCACTCTACAATCCCTTCTCCGTTCTCTCAGGATTTGGGGCATGCATGCACACGCACCCTCCACCGGGTCCAAGACTCGAACTATGCAGTCAGCCGTGTGGAATCCAGCCACCTTCACCACCGTGCCGCTGATCGCCTCCCACCCCTATATATATTCAATGAATACTTTGTTAAAGGTTCTCAGGAACTCAATGTCCGTGCTTTCAACCAATTCACTCCAGTTAATCCGTTGAATTAGTACCCATGCAAAAGGGTACTCGTTCTAAAGTTTCTGACTATCTTGTATTGAGTGCCTATAAAAGCTTTAACTGGTATCCAGGTGGCATAGTGGTTGAGGTGCTGGACTCCCACATGGCCGACCACGGTTCAAGTCCTGAACCTGGGAGCTTGTTTTCTTACTCTCCCACCCCCCCACTTCCCCGTCAAAATTGAGAAATAATGATAATAAATAAAATTAAAAGTAAGTAAATCTTTATTTAAAAACCTTAGGTTCTGGGCACCAGCAGTTGACATGGTGGTTGAGGCGCAGGACTCCCACATGGCTGGCTGCGGTTCTATTCCTGGACCCGCATATAAAATGCAGGTTCTATTCCCGTATTTTCATGTTGGGAAAATACATCATGACTTTTCCGACAACCCTAACATATACTACCACCAAAATAAAGACCAAAAATGCAAGTTAGTCAAACAGTTTACCCTCCTGACATCATTGGGGGCGGTTCCCTGTGGAATCAGTGGCTCAGATTCCTTTCCTTGGCAGTGAGAAAGGTGGCTTGCTTTCTCACTTTCCCTTTGACCAAACTGGAAAATAATAAAGTTAAATAAACTTTTTTTTTTTTTGAGAGGTTTTCGCTATAGGGCGCGTGCGCTCGCCAGACAGACAGAGAGAGACAGAGACAGAAAGCGAGAAATCACCCCCCAGGGG